AAGGACTTGTATCGCTGAAGTTTCTCGGGAAAAATTTCTACGGGAAATTAACAAACGAACAGAGACGTAACATTATTATTCCAATTTTGTGCAGTAGTAATCGCTCTCATTTTTTTATATTGAAATTCTGTTATACTGTATAATATTAGAGGCAATCTACTTAAAAAAAATCAACACTTTGTTTAATCTACAACTGTCTGAGAAAGAAATAACTTTTGTATCACGCCGGATAATAGCCGTTACTTTGTTCTTACCTTGCAGGAAGAAGGTTTGAATATGAACCATGTCGTTGTTGCCAGGACGACCAGTCAAGGCTACGCTTTCAAAGGTGAGTTGTTTAGTGTCAACGTATGTGGGCAGGTGTTGCGTAGGCCGCTTAACTACAGAAGTATGTAGAAAGTACGACGTATAAACATGGGTGTGAAAAACGTATCGCGACATTGTCAACCGTCAAGTATAAACAGGTAGTAAAGCTGTTGATTATGTAAGTGGAGATGGGTGTGGTTTATTTTATGAATGAAATATAACTGTCTAGAAAACATTACATACATTTGGTTTTTATTATATGTTGTGTGTGTGTACCTATTCTAAGGTTATTTTTGAAACATATTAAAGGTATTGTGCGGTAAGAAAGAATGATATAAATGTATATAATCAAAGTTAGATTTGGCAGTAGGCTTTAATCAAATGATAATTATCGATCCATGAAAATGCCGAAAACAGAAATAAAAGAATGAAAGTACTGGAGTACAACTCGTATTATTTAAGATTAGGTAAAAATTAAATAATGTAACATAAAGTAGTTTGTATTCACGGTTGGATTCCAATTTAGTATTAGCTGAGAGATGGCAAAAATAAATATAAAATTAGTTGTCAAATAATCCTCCAAAAATGGCAACAATTACGACATAAATATGAACAAAGACAATAAGCTAACGTAGTTATCAACCCACTCTAAAAAATTGAAAAGGTGAAACGAGTCTGCGTGTATTAGGAAACTTAGAGTAATGGTGATACACTGTCTATCAGCACAGAGGATTTCGTACTACAAATTACACTTGGTAAAACAAATTACGAAGATATATTGTGTAGTTTTTTGTTATTTTTCACCAACTAATTCCAAACTTTATTACCAGTAGTCAAAATTGGATATCACCGCAGATCCTCTCCACCCCTCAAAACTGCTACTCATAATCAAGTATAGTATATGTTTCTCACATTGATCGATATTAATGCATCAGTATGAGTGTATTAAGATACGAAATGAGTACGTGTCGTCGATTACTGCCACATTGGAAACGAAATGAACCACTTTCTTCCTACGAAGGCAACCATGCGACAAAGGATGGAATTACAGATAATCCCAAATACCTTTCCAACGAATATTTTACCTCGTAGCCAGGCCAATCAAACTGTGAAAGTATACACAATAGTTTTACTTTCGAAGCATGTGCTTCTAGACTAAATACCACACCTTGACAAACAAATTAGGAGACAGTCTGATGTATATATTAGCTACAAGTGTGAAATTCCTCACATGTTTAGGTTGTGGTGAAATGTTCAGACCATACATTTTAAATAGAAAGGTAAGTTGGACCTTGGATACCATAATAGAGTGCTATACAGAAATATATTTCACCATTGTCTGAAACACTTAGCATACGTAATATTTTTAATTAAACGTTGAGTTCTGTAGAAGTTGCGTTAATATTTATTTATTCTGAACTTATATATATGTATGTATTTATTTATTCATTGTTGTGAACATAATGATTTTCAGAAATCCTCTGTGGACCTTCAAACTGCAGTTTAAGTTATAAAATTTACATTCAAAAGGTTCTTATTATGATTAGAAATTAGTTTTCGTAACATCAGGGCAAAAGGGGCACATATAGAATACTTTATGTTACACAGCACCAAAGTAATTAACTTTATAATATTGGATTTTGGTGTTAGAGTACTGTTATTACATGAAAGTGCACGAAATTACTGAATTATAATCAGTTAGATTAAACTTATACGAAATTATAATACGTATGTTGAGCTAGGTGTTTTTTTAAATTCTACAATCACACTTACATATAGCGTATTTATTGGTTTTTCTAAATGTCGAAGTTAAAGAGGTATTTCATAGAAATAGGGTGCTTTTAAAGATCGAATGAATTTCAATAGACATTCAGTATCTGAATTGAATGTAATATATTTTTTAATGAAGGATACATTTTAGTGTTCCAATACTGTTCTTCATTAAGAATGTTATCTTTCTTCGGTTGTAGCAAATGTCGTTGTAACTTAGTCTCCATTTTCTCAAGAGGATCATATTGTAATACCACAAATTTAGTAGAATTACGTACAATTTCTACTGAATTTGTGGAATTACAATATGATCCTACTGATAAAAGGTAGACTAAGTTACAACGATATCTGTTACAATTGAAGATAGCATTGTTAATGAAGGATATATTTTACACACAACGCTAAAGAAATAGTTTGTATAATTGCATATTCGACAAAAGCACCTCCAGTAGCTCAGCTTATATAGCTAAAAACCGAGTGGGCAAAGCACGGATAGCACATTGTGTAGCTTTTGTATTTAACAACAAATAGAAACAGAAGCCGACAGAGGTAAGTGTCAGTACCTCAATTTAGTATACTAAAAGGACAGCATCACAATTGAATGCCTTCCAGTTGTGTATTAACTACTATTAAAAATCAGAACGTAAAAGTGTGAGGGAAGGCAACGGTTACCTTCCCTCCAAATGTAAATACCTGTATTAACTTGTTTAACGTGCGAAGCAGGAAAAGTCAGTACCTCAACAGTGTGTCAAGTGATCTGAATGAAGTTTAACTAAACTGATCGTTTTAGATCGAATTATTTTTATGTAAATCTCAAAAGTAACCGACGTTTGTGAACTCCACGTCTAGTAGTCTTTATTCAGATGGCGGTGATTCCTGTGATTGTACACTGAGCCTCTGAATCTCCCTTTTCAGGTATTACCTAAGGCAACCTGAAGCCCCCTTTACAGATGTTGCCTAAGGCACATTGTGGTAGCCGATCAAGACCATTCTCAAACTATCCTACCGACAGGGAAATAACGGTCGTTTTTTATTATCATTATTTTTATGCTTTCATCGTTAATTTAAGATATTTTCCATGCATGGCAATTTAACTGAAGGCATACTTTTCTGTTTTTGACGCGGCATTTAAAACGATGGATTATGTGCATTTCGAATTGTGCAGTTTAAATGAATATATCGTAAAAGAATTTAAGCTGGATCATTTTAAGCTTTAAAAAGTTTTTACTTTGATCAATAAATGCTATACATCAGTAAACAGAACATCCTCTCCCCTGATAAAGAAAGGTCTACCTTTTTAAAGCGCCGGGGTTATATGGTTTCTTAATTTTGTCTTTAATTGATTTGTTTTATCCTACGTGTTTTCCCAACATCACGAAAAAAACAAAACTACTGATTATAAGAAAATTCTTGCTTTGTTGAATAAAAAAAATTAAACGGTATATTTAAATTTGCATTGATTAGTTTACCACAGGTTGCTATATCATGAATGGTAAATTGATGAATACTTATTAAAATAACATACATAAGTTTCTGATACTTTTCAATAAAGCATTGATTATCCAGGCTTCTGCAGGAAGTATGGCGACGTGGTCAAGTGTATTTTTACTACACAGGATTTACATAGCTACACTGAAGAAGTAAAGATCGGTAAAAATAGAATAGATGTTCGGAATTCACATTCAGTTTATTGTGTGTGATTTACCTTCTCACTTTTTGTGGTGTGTAGAAGGGGGGAAAAACCCTTCAAGGAATTAACGTAGTGTTAGATGTTTACAAATTTGGAGGAATCGAGCTTTTGAAGGCTAACGAGAAATATATATATAATACAAATTATCTTTCTAAGTTACTGTTTTACAATCGACAGAGCCATCCTTAAGTTCGCCATACAACTTGTACGTTTGAACAAAAAACCGTTAACTTCCCCTCCCTTCTTCAAGAAACTACTTGCAGGTGGTAGTGATTGTCTATTGTGTAACTAACGACTCCTCGTACCTGAGTTTGTAGGGGACGGTTGGTAAAATCCCAACTTCAAAGAGAACGATAAGGCCAGAAGTATACAATTTTTGACTGATACTAACGTTTATAACAGAATTAATGGGCATTGCGTGTTACTAATTTATGAGAATTGTTTTATATACAAGTGAGAGTCAGGGCCGCATTAAGGTGTAGTACTGCTCTTGGTGACAAAGTATACATTGCACACAGTTATTTGCCTTTTTTTTTTACCTTTATCTTCAGTTATTTTGGTTTTACATGCAAAAATTCATTTTTATTTACAAAGACAGAAGATTTCATCGTATTTTAATATGATGTATCCTAATTAGAACCCACCATTAGGACCAGTGATGTTTCGGACTATGGAGCAGTCAAGAGAATAGTTCGTTGCATGGATGTTTTTCCCTTCCTTAAACCATCTTCTTTTGTACACACCCCATTGTAATTTTCGCACATGGGCAATGTTTTTTACAGTTTTATAAAAGTTCTTATAAAAATTTCCGCCACGGATTTGCGTTAGATTTTAATATTTGATAACACATTTTTGGTGTTTTAATACTGAAAATGCAAAAAAAAAGGTTAATATCAAGTACAAGAAAACGTTTAACTAAAACGACCTACATTGTTCCGAAAAGTTGATCTTCTCTTACACTTATAAATGGTTTTAAACATGCTATACTTAAAATTTAACCACAGTATAGTTTTATTGATATTTTGGTGTGAAGGCCAAGCGTAGATCGGTGTTTAGCATGGCGGTCTATGGATCTGCGGTTCCATTGTTCGTGTCTCCATTATCGTAGATCGGTGTTCAGCATGGCGGTCTATGGATCTGCGGTTCCATTGTTCGTGTCTCCATTATCGTAGATCGGTGTTTAGCATGGCGGTCTATGGATCTGCGGTTCCATTGTTCGTGTCTCCATTATCGTAGATCGATGTTTAGCATGGCAGTCTATGGATCTTCGGTTCCATTGTTCGTGTCTCCATTAACGAATAAGAAAAAAATGAACGAGCTCCACATTAATATGTTGCGGGTGCGTTATAAGGGTGACGGAATATTTTTTACATTACTTTCTTGGATTTCTTCACGAAATCATGAAATATTTTGAGGAACTTCAATTTAATCACATGTATTGGGGAAAGATATTCCTAAGAAGCTCTCTCGTTATATGCATATTACTCACATATGATGTAGCATAGACACTTTCATTGATAAAGTTGATCTTCATTTTTCATTTGTATAAAATCTCATGATCA